AGAGAATCACTTAAGCCCAAGAGTTTGAGGTTGCTGTGAGTTGTAACGGCATGGCACTCTACGGAGGGCAACATAGTGAGACTCTGTCTCAAAAAAAAAAAGGGGGGGGGGGTTTAATTCCCCTCTAGACTGAAGTGCCTAAGGGCAGGGATCACATCTGAGTTGCTCACCACTGTATCACTAGCATTTAGTCCAACATTTGCCATACCAGAGGTACTCAATAAATATTTACTGAATTAATAACTGTAGGAAGAAATTTTCATTCCAGTATAAAACAAACAGTGCAACCAGGTTATATGGGCTCCACTGACACATTTCAAAATCCAGTTGGAAGAATCAGGCCAATCCCCAACCAGCCATGACCCCTGCCTTTTTGTTTCCTCCAAAACATGCTAGATCATAAATAAAAGAGTTTGTTTTAGCGAAGATGTGAAACACCTAAATGGATAACAAAGAATTTTCACTTGCTATTTAGAGAGCAGGTTGGATTTGTTGATGGGTTCCCAGAAAACTGGAGGTGAGGGAGTCACTTGCTCCAGAAGGGCTCCTATCCTGGGGACCATGTCCCTCTGCTCCAGCGGCAGCCTCATCAGAGACCTGCCAAGACCTTGCCAGAAACCCTCTCTAAAGGCCTCAGTGGAAGGATGCTCACACCCCTTTCTGTGTGCAGGGAGCCGCCCAAACAGCACCTGGGATTGGCTTGAGGCCTTTTCTGCCAGGCAGTTCATCACAACAGTAGGTGAGGAGCTCTAGGTGTCCCAACCTTGGGTCTATATGAGGATGACCCAGATACAGTGGGATAAGGAGAAAAGCTCTGGCCGCCTCTCCATGCCCAATATTGAAGTGTATTTTGTACAGGCAGACTGTCTTACATGCGGGCATCAGGAAAGTTCATTGCCTGGACGAGTGTGCAAGTAACTGAGTGGATTCTCAGCAAAATAAGGGAGCCTCTTGGCACTGAAAACACTGGTGGCCTCCAGAGAACAGAGGTGAGAGGGCCACTTTTCACTATTCTTTTGCACTTTTTTTTTTTGAGAGAGTCTCACTTTGTCACCCTTGGTAGAGTGCTGTGGCGTCACATGGCTCACAGCAACTTCCAACTCCTGGGCTTAGGCGATTCTCTTGCCTCAGCCTCCCGAGTAGCTGGGACTACAGGTGTCTGCCACAACGCCTGGCTATTTTTTTGTTGCAGTTTGCCTGGGGCCAGGTTTGAACCCTTTACCCTTGGCATATGGGGCCAGCACCCTACCCACTGAGCCACAGGTGCTGCCCTCTTTTGCACCTTTTAAATCATACGCGTGTAAGTATTACCTAGTCAAACTATTTTAATTTAAATCAATTAATGGTGCTTTCAGGATGGGAGAGAAATCCTCTTGATCTCAAGGTAGGGTGGGTAAGTCTGACCTAGAAATTGGCTCCATCCACCAAAGCTGGCCTTTTTTCCTTCAGGGTTTTTCAAATGTCATTGACCTCAGAACCTTGTTGAAATGCAGGTTCTGATTTAGTAAGATGAGGGAGAGGCCTGAGACTTTGCATTTCCGACAGGCTCCCAGATGACATTGAGGCTGCTGGTCCTTGGATCTCACTTTGAATAGCAAGGTACAGGTTCTGCATGGGCATGGAGTGGGGAGGTAGGCACAGGGTGGGGGGAGCTAACAACCGTTTACATCCACTGTGTGAGCACCATCTGTTATCTCTTTAGCACTTCAGACCAGGCCTCTGAAAGGAAGGGAGCCCAGCAGGGATATCCAGCCGCACAACAGCAAGCGACAAACTACACAGCCCGATGCAGTACCCAGATGGGCAAGTGGATATTCCCAGAGCTTCCCAATACAGGGCATCAAAATGGAGGCTGCCCTGCCTTCCCTTCCCCATATTACCTAGAAGCCCTTACAGTTGGCCTCTCCCCTTAAGAGCCAGCTGCCTCCTAGCTGGCCCAGTCCTATCCTGTTGTCTCCTTGGCCTCCTTTAAATTTTATTCTTGGGGGCAGAGCCAAATGTCCCCTTGGGTATTGTCTAAAGACTTTCTCCAAGCAGCCATCATTACCTTGGGGATTTGTGTTCAGCTAGAGGCAGGCCAGCATGGCTGGGCCTGGCTGTGATGTCTCTGTTGGCTTTGGAGGAGTGACACACGTGCCCCTCCTCCTGAGAGTGGGTCAGCATCTCATTTCAGCATCTCTTGGATAGGGCCTGGCACAGAGCATGCACAGATAAATGTTTACCACATGTGTGAATGAATAAATGTCCAACCAGGTTCCCAGAGAAGATCAAAGCACTCTAGTTGCACTCAGGCCCCTGGCCTACCCCCTTCCCTGGGTGCCTGCTCCAGGGCCTCCTCTTCCAGATCTGAGCCACTCTGGCCATTGGGCGGCTCTCCTTCCTTATGTGACAAAAAGCCTATAGTAAGATCCCATAGAGCAGGAGAGACATCTGTGCCTGGAAGCCCCTGTCTCCCACAGGCATGAAGACTCTACTTCCTGGTCCAGAGCTGTGGGCAGTACAGGCCCCATCTTCACCAAATCAGTCTGCAGCCAAGGGCTCTGGTTACGTATCCTTGACCTGCAGGGTCTGCAGCTGCTGCTCATTCACCTTTGTATTCCCCAGGCAGCCAGACCTGTGTGGGGTGGAAAGGGCACACATAGGGTAGAGAGGGCTGTAGGGAGCCGTTGAGACAGAGAGGGGCCTTCTATCAGGGTCCCTACTGCAGCCCAAATCGAGGCAGATGCTCAGGCAGAGGCCTCTGGAATCATTCCACCAATGAGCAATAGTGACTGCATGGCAACCACAGCCTAGGCCTGCGTGACTGAGCAGAGATAAGCAAGGTGGCCAGGCTTTCCCCTTCAGGGAGTGGAGTTCCGGTGGGTGTCCAAGAAGGGGCAGTCAGCTCAGGGAGCACTGGAGGGCTGCTGGGCTCTGGGCCTGCCCCATCAAGATCTCCCCCACTTCCTCAGCCCACTGCTGCAGCCCTCAGCCTGTTTCTCTCCTCTCTCCTTCCCTGCCCATGCCCAGCTCCCAGCTGGAGGCTGCCACTCCCTGAGTAAGCAAGGCAGGAAAATTGGGGCCAGAGGAAAGGCTAGTGAACCCCTGTGATGTGATTTATAAGAGGAGAGTCACAAGACCCTACCCTGACTGGGCAGTTGGGAGCCCTGTGTCAGGGCTGGGAAGGGGGAAAGTGCTTTGCTTTTGCTCAGGTTGGTCTTGAACATGGGAGCTCAAGCAATTCACCTGCCTCGGCCTCTCAGCGTGCTAGGGTAAGGTGACCAGATTTTAACATGGGTAAAGTAGGACAACATTGAGGTGGGGGGGCAGGGGGCCGGGCAGGGC